ATTGACATTTGGTTTATTGATGAGTCTCTTGAGTTTGAGTAGCTTGAATGACTTAACATGATCAACCAGAAATACGATGAAATATATGTGTTTATACCTCAAAGAGGTGTACATCATGAATTTACCAAAACAGATGACAATAGCCAGCCAACCTACTTGAGGACTATACTGCCATGGAAGTGAAAGTCTGAATCCAATGTGAAATCTAGGATGATGACCACTGTATTTCACTATGGTGTTTTGAAGTAATTGAAAGGTTTGGAGTTTTTGCACAAAAGGAGATAATTATGGATTAATCATAAATTTACTATTTTAATAGTTTAGGCATGGCAAGTGATTCACTAAGAATCTAGCAAGGAAACAAGTTTATACATTAACAAAAACTATGGGAAAGGTTCTAAAGGTCAGATACTGGAATGATTAACATTTTTTAAATTTCAAAACATTCAGATGGTGCTCTTAATCCAATTTTGAATTTGGATGTCTTGTTAGAATCTTGTACTTCTTGGGAGAAGTACTGCCAGAATTGTCCTTGGAAGCAAAGATAACGAAACTTCATCTCACATACTTTGGACATGTTATCAGGAGAAACCGGTCCCTGTAGAAAGGTATCATGCTTGGTGAAGTGGAATGGCAACCAAAAAGGAAATTAGCCACGGGGATGGATTGACACAATGGCTGCAACAATGGGCTTAAACATAATTGTAAGGACAATGCAGGACCAGGCAGTGTTTCGTTCTGTTCTGCATAGGGTTGGAATTGACTCCATCGTCCCTAATACCAAGACCTTGAGATTAGATGACTTGTTTAAGGTAGACAGTGCTACAATCAAATTTTACATTCCTCCCTCTTAATCCAACTAATTTAGAAAATCAGGACTGCCCAAGTATCTCACTGCCATCCAGTCAGCACTCATAGCAATCCTATAGGACAGAGTTGAATTGCCCCTGTGGGTTTCCAGGGTGGTAAATTTTTTCGAGAGCAGAAAGCCTCCTTTTCTCCTACAGAGCAGCCTGTAGTTTTGAACTGCTGACCTTGCAGTTAACAGCCCAACACATAACCTACTCCACCACCACGTCTCTCTGCCAAAGCATATGGGGACTCAAACAGTACAGAGGTGGCTTTTTGAAACAAAGTGGATTACATATTCAAGTAATTCAGTTTGTGGAAGATGAAACTAAAGCTCTAGACTCTAGAGCCTATTGTTATGTGTAGTCCAGAGAAGCAAAGGTAGGAGCTTAGACTGGAATGTGAACTGGTAGTAATATCAGGGCTCGTACCCAGCTCTGGTTCACAATTAACTCTAGAACTTAGGACAGACACCCTACTATCTGTAAAGTGAAGAAATCTAATGTTGATTTAAAGTCACTTCTAATACCAAAAACTATGTAGTCTTTTTGGTAACTGTTTCCAGCCTTAGTTCCCTAGTATTGCTGTACCAGAAATACAAGTGGGTGGTTTCAGAACACACACACACCCTCAAAAAACAGATTCAGAAGGCTTGAAGCCCAAATTCAGACACCACTCTAGAGGAAATGTTTCCCTCTGCCACCTCTAGGGGAAGAACCTTAGCTCTTAGAGTCTGTAACCCTGAATAAATACATTCCTCATGATAGCTATCTCAAGCCTATTTGTGCTTGTTTTTTCCTGGGTCTGTGCTTCTCTTTATACCTTAGAAGTGATTAAGTTTTTGACATCCTACTGATATTGTTAGGTTCCATCAAGTCAGTTCTGACCCATAGCTACCCTATGCACAACAGAATGGCCCACCACCCGGTCCCGCGCCATCCTCATAATTGTTCACATGTCTGAGCCCGTTGTTGAGTCACATTGTCAATCCATTTCCTTGAGGGACTTCCTCTTCTTCACCACCTGTCCACTTTACCAAGCATGATGTCCTTCGCCAGGGACTGCTGTCTCTCCAGACAGTATGTTCAAGGTATGTAAGACGAAGGCTTGCCATCATTGCCTCTAAGAAGCACTTGGGCTATACTTCTTCCAAGACAGATGTTTGACCTTTTGGCAGTCCATTGAAGGCAGTACTTTCAATATTATTCTCCCGCACCACAACAATTCAAACGCATCATGTCTTCAGTCATAAGTCAGTGTCCAGTTTTCACATGCATATGAGGCAATTGAAAATACCATAGCTTGGGTCAGGTGCACCTTAGTCCTCAAAGTAACCTTCTTGCTTTCAGTACTCTAACGAATTATACACTGATAGGTCTACAGATAGGGCCTCATCAACATAACAAAACCTTCATTCCAGACAGGATTATATCCACAGGTATGTAGTTGTGCTGTCCAGTTACTTCTATCTCATAGCCACTCTGTAGGACGCAATAGACCTGTCCCATAGAGTTTCCTAGACCATAATGTTTATGGATGCACATCACTAACTTTTCTCCATGGGGGTAAGTTTGAATTGCCAACCTTTAAGTTAGCTGCTAATCACTTAACCATTGTACCACCAAAGGTCCTGGACCACAGACAGAGGGGGTGGGACTCCAATTCATATCTTTGAGAGACACAATCCAATCTATAACAAGTCTAGAAATACATTTTTTTAAATATACTTTTAGAAAATTAAGTCGACCTTGAGAGAAAAGGTTTGAAGTGGTTGGATACCTTGCTTATCACTAAAATGTTTGAGATTCTTACAGGTCAAGTGTTTTGTGCCAACCAATTTCCCCATATTGATAGGAGATAGAAAATCAATGACAACTTACTTTAATAGGAAAGATCTGAAGATCTATGGAAATATAACAATCTAGTGGTAAGACAAGTGGTCAAAAGATCTGGGACTTTGTAGTTATATTTTTATTCCTTATACAATAATCATTTGCTGTACCTGGGTGGTATAGTGAGTTGATTATGAGTTGGGCTATTAACCACAAGGTCAGTAGTTTGAACCCACCAGCTGCTCCACAGTAGAGTGATGAGGCGTTCTCCTCCTGGAAAGATTTATAATCTCAGAAACTCTCAGAGGCAATTTTTCTCGGTACTAGAGAGTTGTTCAGGACTCTCTCCTGCGGAGCGGCTGGTGGTTTCAGATTGCTAATCTCCCAGTTAGCAGCCCATCACCATGCCGCCAGGACTGCTTATGAGTCAGACTTGACTTGGCAGTGGTTTGGGGGGTTTTGTTTTGTTTTAATCGCGTTGGAATTAATTTGATGGCACTCTTTTGTTTGTTTGTTTGTTTATTAAATCCCAGGGACTCTTGTCAGGGAACCTTGATGGTGCTTTTGGGTAAATGTTGGACTGCTAACTACAAGGTCAGCAGTTCAAACGCACCAGCCATTTAGAGGGAGAATCATGAGGCTTTCTGCTTTCATAAGATTTACAGTCCCAGAAATCATTTACAGGATTGCTGTGAGTCAGAATCAACTCAATGACGGTGCTTTTTAAACTGTAGCCAGTGCTAGAGAGGTAAACACGATAGTCCTAGGCCTCAGGAAACTGATCATCTGGTGAGGGAGATGGTTGAATGAATCAATATTGATAATGTATTTAATTAAGTGCTATGCTGGAGTTCAGAAACCAAGAAGTTGGCAGTTGCAATAATCCTTGACAGGTCTTGGAAGAAAGTCCTGGCATTCTGCTTCTGAAAGGTCACAGCCGTGGAAACTCCATGGGTCACCATGAGTTCTAACTGGATCGACTTGAAGGCAGCAGGTAGATGTGAGAAAGTACAGACAAGTGCTTCTCAAAGCAGAACACATGTTCGGCTTTCCCGGAAAGCTTTTGATTAATAGAGATGCTACTTCCCTCTCCTTCAAAGATCATAACAAATAATCTGGGCAGGAATTCTAAGGAATTAGAATTTTTAAAAATCAATTAAAAACCAACGAGATAGAAGAAGGATACCAAACCTTTATGTCAAATCCCAAACTACAAGCCCTCTATCACTTAGTATATTCCAACTCATGGCAACTCTATAGGGCAGAATAGGGCTCCCCCCCAATGTTTAAACTGCTGACCTGGTGGTTATCAGCTCAATATAACCAGTCCACCAACACAGCAGTGATTAAGCAGATGAGGGGAGAAGACTTTTAGTCAAGCCATGGAAATGATAGATCTCATAGTGTGTCAGGAGAACCATAACCAGTTCTGCAGAGCTCGGTGTAGGATAGGTGGGGGCGTAGAGAGTATCGTGAAAGATGAAGATGGGAGATAGGCAGGACTTGACACTGGAGCCAGTGGGAAACCAGTGACTTGCCATGATCTCATTTCCTTTCTAGAAAAGATCACTGGACTGTGGAGGATGGATTAGAGGCACTGCAGTGTAGACCAATTAGGCAATGGTAATCTAGGCAGGAATCAAAATAGTAGTACTGGGAAGGCATACGATTCTTGAAGTACAATGAACATGGAGATGAAACCCACTAGGCGGTTGGATGTGGTTGGTGCAGTAAAAGGACTTTGTCCGTTGCCATGGAATCTATTCTAATTCATAGTGTTACAGAGTAGAAGGACTCCTTAGGGCTTTCAAGGCTTTGCTCTTTACAGATGCTGATGGCCAGACCTTTCTTCCAGAGTACCACTACATGGGTTCAAACCAACAATCTTTAGATTAATAGCTGAGAGCAAACCTTTGGCACTATTCAAGGACTCTCAATGGTATGTAGTTTGGGGTTTTTGTTTGTTTGTTTGTGTTTTGCTATCTACTTTTGCTCGTTTGCCATTGGTGGGTCTCCCCAGAATTAAGTGCTTCAGTTATGGAGAGGAGCATCTGTTAGAGGACTTGTTAACAGCATCAGTGACTCAAAGCTGATCATTGCAAATTTAGAAGCAATCAAAATAATAAGCTATTTGTAATCCCTAAAACGGTTAAATTCCTGACACGCTTAAGGTCGAGCATCTGACTAACATTTCCACCTAGGTTGTGTGGAGAGTGGGGAGAGTAGCATTCAAACAAAGGTTTGAGAGAGTTTAGTTAACACAAATGGTCAGGCCTAGTCTATAAATCTGTCCAAAGCAAATGGTGTTATAGCTTCCTACTACTTGAGAGCTTCATCTGGTAATGACCTCAGAAGAGTGTCTCCCTCCTACATCACCACACTGCCTTTCTTTAGCTCTTTGTTGTTGTGTGTTGGTCTTTGATCCCAGATCTCTCTAAGACAAAAGAAAAAGAAAAAAGACAGCTAAAACACTCACTTTGCAAATTGCCTAAGAAAGTTACTTTAGAATGTAAGCTAAACAAATTAATTCTAAACATACACACCCAATGTTTAAGCACAACTTTCAAATCTTTTGAAAAAACACTCTTACCATATTCGGTTCATGTTTGCCTGTGGTTGCTTTGTCTGTAGTTACACCGCCCATAGTGCCTGATGGGAAACATTAGGAAAAGGAGAGCGTCCTTTGAGAAAAGGACTACTTAATTTTGAATTGTAAGACTATTGTTAACATTTACCATCATCTAGTATCAACATGTCACTGCAAGGCTGACTCCGGTATCGGCATTGATGCAAAATGTGTTACTGTTCTTTTAAATCGTATTTTTTAAAAGTCAAAGAGTCTTTCTTTTTTTCCCTGATGAGAATCCCTGCTCCACAGGGAAAAGTAATAATAATTTGAGGATTGCATGGAACTAAAAAATAACTTAAAAAAAAAACACTTTAAGAGCCTATAAAATATACTTCTAGTAAATTACACTCACAGAAGCCCAACTTTCTCAGAGTGGCTGGTGGATTTGAACCGCCGAACCGGTGACTTTGAATTGCTTACCATATAGCAGTGGTTCTCAACCTTTCTAATGCTGCGACCCTTTAATACAGTTCCTCATGTTGTAGTGACCCCCCCCCCCAACCATAAAATTATTTTCATTGCTACTTCATCACTGTAATATTGCTACTGTTATGAATCAGGAAACTCCTGTGAAAAGGTCATTCGCACCACAAAGGGGTCGCGCCCCACAAGTTGAGAACTGCTGCCATATAGTGCCACGAGTGCTCCTATGCTCTTTAAAACAACTTTTAAATAAAGAAATAGGATGAAAATGATATATACCCGCAGATAATCCAGGGGGCTTCAAAAAGTCATGGGGGGAAATGGATTTTTTTCGAGCAACTTTTTGAAATCCCCTCATTTATTTTACACACACACACACACACACACACACACACACAAATGATCAATTGTGAACAGGGGGGGGGAGGCAGAGACAATGATAAGCATAAACTGAGATAGAAAGGGAGAACCAAACCAAATCTACTGCCATTGAGACAATTCCGCTCAGAGAAAGAGAGGAGGGAAGCAATAAAAACAGAACAGAGAAAGAATGGTATGGTACTAAGTAGGCGCTATAGTTTAATATGCACTTGATTCAGGTCTTATATTAGTGACTGCAACAATAGATTCAAACGTCGCAATGATTTTGAGGATGGGACAGGACCAGGCAAGGTTTTGTTCTCTTGTACATAAGGTGAATATTAGTCAGAACCAACTTGATGGAACTTAACAACAAGGAAGATTAAGGTTGACCTAAAATACAGGACACCCAATTAAGTTTGAAATTCATATATACAATAGATGTCTCATGCATATTTGGACCAACCCACTACCACCAAGGTGATTAAGACTCATAGCAACCCTACTAGGTAACGTAGAACTGCTTCTTTTTTTTTTTTTTGTAGAACTGCTTCTTAGGGCTTCTGTGACTTTAAGTCTTTACCAGAACAGACAGCCCCATCTTTCTCCTATGAGTGTCTGGTGGGTTCGAGCTGCTGATGTTGGGGCAACCTACTGCACCACTAGGGCTCACATATTTGGCAAGGGGAGGGGGGAGAGAGGGCACATATTAAAAAGTTATTCATTGTTTATCTGAAATTCATAGTTACCTAGACATCCTCTAGTTATTTGCGTAATATCACAAGCCTATCCTGGACATCCGGCGGCTCTCCTTAGCTAATGGGCAACGAAGCAAGTTATGGGATCCATTGCCACCCATTGAAATAATGATAATATCAACAAAGCTACCATTTATTTTCATCTTCAAAATAATAGATTTTAGAAATCAAAAGTTAGGAATCAATAAAATTTCCTTGTGGTTTCATAGGAACTGAAAAAAAAACAACTTAGTTTAGGAATTGACTTCATGACCTATTGATACTGTAACCCTAACTTTGATATTCAGAAGGTTCAGGTGGCCTCGACATTTAAAAAGTCTAGACTTGAAAGCAATATTATTTACCAGGGACCCAGACTTGAGCTAGTTGTGAGTTTCTGCCCTTGCTTTTCAGCATTTTAGCTTCATACTACTATTTTCCTTTCAGCAGCCTCTGCTGAAATGTGTTTCAGCCATCAGAAAGAGTAATACTACAGTGAAGCAGGTGGTAAAGGTTAAAATGGGAGGAATGACTTGCTTTCAGAGCAAAGGGAGTTCTAGAGTAAATAAGATCTCAAGAGTATTCATTTCCCACCTCACTGGGCTTTTCTCTGAATTTATAAGTATAGCATAATATTCAGAGCCAACCTTCAGGTGTTTCTCTAAATAACTCAGGGAAATGCTGCTAAGAGTTGAGGGTTGTAGGGTAAAGAAGCCAGGCTGTCAGAATCAAATGTCTTATCATGAATTATGCTATTACCAGAGATAAATCTCTTCTTTAAACACCAGCAGGTATGATGGGAAATCCAGGATAATTTAAAGATTGCTTCAAGCCTGTGCTCTCTAAGATAGGTGACTGCAGAAGGCCACAAATTGCCCTCTTGACTCCACGGACGCTAGAGAATGGGCTGCAGTACACCAAGGTAAAATTGTAACTTGACACCGATGGGGAAATAAGTCCCTTCAAATGGGACCTGGCTCTGTAAAGACAAAAGAGAAGACTTCACCCAAGTGTAAACAACAGGAAAAGGTGTCTCTTTTCTCTAAGACTAGATGATGCAGCATGCTAAACAGATAAGACTGACATTGGTAAGGCTACAACCTGGGCCTCAAGGGAATTGGTATGTTGGAATTGTTTGAAGAGCATCATTAATACAAGATAGTATTCTGCCAACCAAGTCCCAAATATGTAACACCACTGCAATGCAGCCAACCAAAAACAGAATAGCAGGAGGAGGGATTTTTGGCCCAGAGCAGTGGGGCAAATCCTCCCTCCTCTTGAAAAGTGAGAGAACGAAAGGCCCTGGACTTTGCTTTGCAGGAGTGTGTCCAAAATTACATTCCACCCTTTCTTTAACAACAGGCTTGTGAAATTCAAGTCTCCTGAATTAAGTACTTAAATGGAGGGCGGGGAAACAAAATACCACCAATGTGTGCAATTGCCCCAACCAGTTTTTAATGTGATTGTTCATTCATCTGATTTACCTGTAGTAGAAAGAAACCAGGGGGATTCTGGGAGGCTGGGGGAGGCAGGGGGGAGGCACAGAATTTCAAATAGAGGAAACTATTTCAGGCACATGGTTAAGGATTGTGTCTCACTCACTGCCATCGAATCATTTTCAACTCACAGCAACCTCGTAGGACAGAGTAGACTGCCTTTGCGGGTTTCTAAGAGTATAACTCTTTACAGAAGTAAAAAGCCTCATCTTTCTCCCCTGGAGCAGCTTGAAGTTTCAAACTGCTGACTTTGGGATTAGCGTCTCAATGCATAGCCACTAAGTCCCCAAGGCTCTTGTAAAGATTGTGTAGAACACTCAATTTAACATGGTCTAATCAAGGCTGCCTGTAATACACCTCACTATTACAAAACATGGCACACAAAAAAAATCAATAGTTTATTTTTTTCCTCTTTGATATGTGCATTGGCACATTTTGTCCTAAAGGGGATGGATAGAAGTCCAATGTCTCTCCAACAGCATTTCCCATTTCCTATATTGCCACCATTTGTGAACTTGGAGCCCAGATGTGGTTGGTACCACCTACTGGACTAATTCTGGAATTACAGATTCTGACCATCAGGCCTGCTTTGGAACCATGGTTTTTAAAAAATTTTATTATCGAACAAATTAATGTTAGGGCATATGGTTTTTATTGTCAGAATTATGCATTACAGGGGTGCTGTATTTGAATTCAAAGTATAGCCTTTACATCTGGAAGTAGCATGAGAACTCACGTATCTTAACACTGTCATTTTATGGGATAATACAAGGAAACACGAGCTCTGGAATTAGAAGCCGACCTTCTCTGAGCTTGTTTCCTGTTCTATAGAACCGACTCCATAGGATTATCAAGGATTAAAACAAACTGTGCTTTCCATTTATTCTGTAATATAGTATGGTCGTTGTAGATTAATGAAGAAAACTGAACTAAATTACTTGCCTGGGTCATGTAACAGGTGAGCCTCAGAGCAAGGACTAAAACTCAAGATTCAGACTAAATCCAGTGCTTTTCCCATTAAATTACAATTTCCCCAAATTTGATGGCGAGATTTTAGGTGAAAACTGAGATAAAATTAGGAAGTGCTGGAAGATAGCATTAAATACTATAAAACATAGTGAGGAAATTCACTTTTCAATTCTTTCAAAATTGATGGCTTCAAGAAGAAAGCTCCAATTTGATATTGGTTTTCTTTAAAACTCTTTCCAGCTTGCTAATCTCAGTTTTTATAAAGTTTAAGCAGGCCTTAGGTTTTAGCATCTTGCTAGGATAATAAAATTTTGTTCTATTGTTTACTTTCTGCAACAAAAAATTAAGTTAGTGTTTCATTTTAAATAGTCATATAAATTTATTTCCAAGGAAATAATTTAAGAAATTGAAGATTCCATCTAAACCAAATATTGACTAACCAGTAGATCAAGTGATAAATAAATGTAAAGTTTGGAAAACTTTGAGTGCCACCAAACCACCTCTCTTACCATATCATTGTTGGTATTCTCTTAGCCCAATTACTTTTAAAATCCCTCTTTGAAGAGAATTCTTTCCCTGTTCAATAATCAAACACTAAGTGATAAGTAGATCAACAGAACCAAAATCTAGGACTCAATTGGCTGTCAAATTCACTTGCCCTCACACAAACCTTTTGGGTTTGTGTATGTGTGTTAGAAAATGAAACTGTGTTTTATATATAGATAATATCACAAGTGCTTAGTGAGTGCATATCAATAATTTTTAAGACAATGGGTCACTCATGAATGTGGCTACATTCGTTTGTGGTAAATTAATATATTTATGGTCTATTACTTAATTCTCCAGGAGGATATGAGGAGAGGTGAAGAGACAAGGGCACTGATCATTAGGCTGTCCCAGGTCAAGTTTGACGGACTGTCTTTAAGCAAGGGGAAAGACAAACAAGCCCTCCTTAGGGGAGCATGTTGAATGGTTTTCTTCAAGTTAGTACTTATTAAGCTTGGTTTGATTTTAATCTGAGGCTAAAAGACTTCAGAATCCTTTCTCTATGGGTCCCTTGAAATGACCTTCAGTCAGTGACCTTCAAATAAGATAAAACAAGGATCGCTCCTTCTAATAACACTCCTCTATCTTCTTTATTTGTATCATAATGACTTTATACTGCTTCTGGTTCCATGCCAGGTTTTTATTGAACATTATCTCAAGCTTGCGCTATTCAATTCTTAGCAAAATATTAAGTGAAAGGAATATAAAAGAGGGAAGGGAAGGCTTTCAAACACTTGCAATATCTTTTCATGTTATGTCTCTGGTAAATTTTGGAAGTCCCCCTTCTGTAAGAGAAATTACCTGGAGGCTAGGCAGTCCATCCAGTCAGTTCAGTGTTCTCAGTTTTACCTATTGAGGACAGAACTGACTTAAGTTGCTCCAACACCTTCTTGAATTTCCTGTTCAGTAACATGTTATGAGATTGTCCCAAGGACTAGAATAATGAACAGTCTAGGGCCTTTAGACATACATTTATTCTATAAATATTATTGAAGACATTGATTGCTACACCACAGTGGCATCCTGGCTCCCTTTAAAGAATCTGAAGGAGAAATTTCAGGTCTCAGAACCAGAAAAATCTATATTTCTCCTGGTTGATTTATACGTTATGAACACTGTCTATCAATGTTTCTTTATGCTAAGAAGGTTAGAACCAAATGTGTAGCCTATTTCACTTTTCCTTGATTTACTCATTTATTTAATCCTATTTATTCTGTCCCTACTCATCTGTCAGTTTCTCATACTGTGGTGGCTTGCATGTTACTGTGATGTTACAAGCTATACCATTGGTATTTCAAATACTAGCGGGATCACCCATAGTGAGCAGGTTTTTCAGCAGAGCTTTGAGACCAAAACCACACTACAAAGGTGGAATAGGCAGTCCACTGCTAAAGGACTAGTCACTGAAAACCTTAGGACTAGCACTCCAGTATAGTTCTAGAAGATGAAGCCCTCAGCTTGGAAAGCACTACTAATATGACTGGGAAAGGGCTGCCTCCTCAAATGAGTCAAATTACTAATGTGGTTGGAATAAAGCTTTCAGGACCTTCACTTGGTGATGAGGCACAACACAAATGGAGAATAAATAGCCACAAGAACCCGTTGAAAATCAGAATATGAAGTATGAATATAGGAAAATAGGAAGTCATCAAAAATGAAATAGAACTCATAAAAATCAATATTGTAGGCAATAGTGAGCTGAAAAGAATTGGGATGACCATTTTGAATCAGACAATGATATGGCTTAGAATTTTGGCAGAAATGACTCATTCAAGAGGACTGGCATCACATTCATTATCAAAAAGAACATTTCAAGTGCTATCTCAAAATACAATGCTGTCTGTGATAAGATAATAGCTTTCCATGCAAAGTCAGCAGTTCGAAACCACCAGATGCTCCATCGGAGAAAGAAGAGGCTTTCTACTGCTATAAACAGTTATAGTCTTGGAAACCCACAGGGGCAGTTCTACCCTGTCCGATAAAGTCACTGGGAGTTGTCCGATAAAGTCACTGGGAGTTGAGATTGACTTGATAGCAATGAGTTTGGCTTTGGAATGTAAAGGAGCTAAAGTGAATGGAAGAAATGAAATAAAGAGCTGGCTGGAAATTTTCCATGAGCAGCTCCAGAAAGCAGAGTAGAACAGTATAATGACCTGGAGTTAGAAAAACAAAGGGGAAGAATATACTCAGTATATCTCTAGCTGAAAAAAAAATGCAGAAAAAATCAGACCTCAAGTTGAAATATTGAAGGATTCTATGGGAAAAATATTGAATGATGCAGTAAGAAATTGAATGGATATACAATCACTGTACAAAAATGAATTGGTTGACATTCAGCCACTTCAAGATGTAGCATATGATCAAGAACTGATGGTTTTGAATAAAGAAGCCCACGCTGCCCTGAAGGCATTGGCAACAGACAGGCTCTAGGAATTGATGAAACACCAACTGAAAGGTCTCAATAAACTGATGAAGCATTGGAAGCACTCACTTGCTTATGCCAACAAATTGGAAGATACCTGGAAGACTGCCTAGAGGAGATCTATATTTGTGCCTATTCTAAAGAAAGGTGATTCAAAGAATGCAGAAATTACTGAACAATCTTAATATTACTCGTAAGTTAAACTTAGCTGAAGATAATTCAAAAACAGTTGGAGAAATTCAAGCCAGATTCAAAAGGGAGTGTGGCATAAGGGGTGCCATTATGGACACCTGGTGATCTAATTGAAAACAGAGACTATCAGAAAGTTATTTACCTATATTTTACTGACTATGCAAAGGCATTCAACTGTGTGGATCATAAAAGCCTATAGAAAACATTCGGGAGAATGAGAATTCCAGAACACTTAATTGTGTTCATGAAAATAAACCAAGAGGTGTTGTTCAAACAGAACAAAAGGCTATTACATGGTTTAAAATCAGGTGTGTGTCGGGGTTGTATCATTTCACTATACTTATTTAATCTGTATACTGAGCATATACTCTTAGAAACGGGACAGCCTGCAATAAGCATATGACACAATCTTGCTTGCTGAAAGTTATGAGGACTTGAAGCATTAATTGATGAAGATCAAAGTCTACAGCCTTCGGTATGGATTACAGTTCAGTAAAGAAAACAAAATCTCTCACAACTGGACCAATAGACAACATCATGATAAATGCAGAAAAGATTCAAGCTATCAGGGATTTTATTTTACTTGCATCCATAATCAATGCTCATGGATGTAGTAGTCAAGAAATCCACTGACTTATTACATTGGGCAGATGTCCTGCACAAGGCCTTTTTAAAGCTCTAAGGTGTAAAGATGTCACTGTCAGGACTAAGGTGTGCCTGCTCCAAGCTGTGGTATTTTCAACCACCTCAGCACATGAAAGCTGGTTCATAAACAAGGAAGCCTGGAGAAGAATCGATGTAATCAAAGTATGGTATTGGGAGAGAATATTGGAAATATTATGGGTTGTCAGAAGAACAAATAAATCGATCTTGTAGGAAGTAGAGCCAGGGTGCTCCTTAGAAGCAAGGATGTCCAGTCTTCATCTTGTGTACTTTGGACATATTATCAAGAGAGGCTGGTTCCTGGTTGTATGATTAGTAAAGCCAGTCAAACAGAGGGCCAGTGAGAAAGAGGAAGACCATCAAGGTGATAGATTGACGACACCGTGGTTCAACAGTGTTCTCAATTGTGAGCATGGTGCAGGGCAAGGCAGTATTTCGTTCTGCTGTACATCAAGTTGCTATGAGTTCGAGCAGATTCAAAGGTTCAACAACGACATCGATTGTGGGTTCATAAACTGTTTACTCTTTTTGGAGTAAGACTGAGGAAAAATTATAAATGTTTATACTGGTGCTCGTTATAGACCTCTTTTTAAAATACAAAATTCAGATATATAGAAATCCATATTCACTTGAAATTCTAAGAATTGTTTCCTTCTACTACTTAAAACTAGTCCTTTATTCTATTTATTATGGTACACAATACAATTTCTTTTAATGATGTTATTAATTCTTTGGGAGAAATCACCAAAATTCCTAGAAGCACATTTGGATTGATGAACATCGCAAACACGATCATATATATATATATATTTTCACCTCTTTTCCCATAAGATTGCTGAGGTCAAACACTCTTCATTCCTAAGTAAGAGGACTTGAAGGATTGGGGGGAGCTAACATTTCCTTGAGTACCAAATGTGTATCGGCTATATGCACTAACTTTATTATATGTTATCTAGTCTTTACAAAGGAAAATTAATTTTTTCCTAGAGGGGATCTTTACCTTAGAATGAGTTCTTCTGAACAGTAATATGAGAGTGATAGAATTTATTATAATTGCACTCATATTTAACTTACCACCAGCCAGGCATGCTAATCATTTTACAAGTAATGAGATTCCCCAGTGCAAACCAAAAAAAAAAGACAAAGTCTCAAACTCTGCAGCTATGCTACCCTACCTACCTTGGAAACCAGGGAGATTTAAGAATGCTTGCTTTGGCTCAAAATTTTGCTGTAAGTGCAATGATAATTTCAGGTCATTGGCCTTCTGGTAGTTCTTCAAGGCTTCAATTTTGAGCTCTATCACTTTGCCTTGAAAGTCATTCTGCAAGAGAGCATTTTTCAAAATTACTCATCATCACATCAATTTCTCAAAATCTACTGTTACCCAAATCTTCTATACTCCAAACTACAAAAGTGATTCCCTTGTGTTCAGTCTTTAATGATGAGTCACAGAAATCTATGATTTTTCCAATTTCAAATATAACAAAATCAAAATCATAGGAAGCCATTTTATTTGTCCCAAGTTACTCAGGGTGAAGTCAGAGAGAGGTCCCATCTCTTCATAAAGCCCTTTTTACAGCAGGACACTTTTTAATCCAGAGTGAGGAGGCTAGGTTGGATAGTAGTAAGCTAAAAATGGCTTTAAGGACACAGCTCATCTCAGCTATACATCAATATTTTTAAAGTTGAGAGCCCCATGAGATAAAATTGGGCTTTTGACTTTATATTCTGTAAGTAAAATTGCATCCCATGATCAACCTTGGAAGACCTTAGTACCTGGATGTTGGCTTGCTCCCGATACCTGACCCATTGGATTTTCCTTTGTTGCTTTTCCTGGTGGAAGAAAGAGTATCTGGGTGACAAAGTAAATTGAAATCAGAATTTGGTTTTTTCAATATATTAAAATCCTTAAGCAAAATTATGGTGTTATAGATTTTGCGTCTGAAGCATAATTATTCACTAACAACTAGTTTCAACTGTACAGTCATTTTATTGGTGTTACCTATACAGTCCGCTCTCCAAAAACTAAATGAATAGGGTCATTTTTGCATGCAAGCACAATGCCTATAAATAAATTTTCCAAAATACATTAGCAAGTGTTCTGACATCACATAGCTATTGCTGCCTTGTCATTGTTAGTACAGCTTCTCCCACTCTACCTTTGCTACCATGACTTCCCAATAGCTCGCTGTGTCACTCTCTGAGTCGAATACACTCTCCGAAGGGAACTGGATCTCCTATAAAAACTTGTACTGGTTCAAGAGCACACCATAGCATAGGTAGATTACTGTGACCTTAAAGATTTATAATCTATCAGCTGGGGGGAAAAAGTACAGTTCAGAAAAATTATACTACCTTTCTTATCTCTTCCACTCTCTCTGTACATGATGTGTCCAGGTCACTCTTGGTCTTCCTAAATGCTGAGGGGGTCTTGGGAGCCTGGTATGGAAGAAGAGAACTAAGGGACTAGATGGTCCCAGGAAGGAACTACAGATTGTAAATCCAATATACCCAGATTCTATCAATTTATCTCCCAATCAAGCAAGCAAGCCCTGATTGTTAACAGTCTGTTTTCAGCTCTGATATCCTAAGTCCATACAGTTCACTTGCCTTTCCATCCTGCAAGTCTGTCTTATTTTTTATCTGTGGTGGTTTTTGTTGCTCATCCATCTCTTCTATTTCAAATGCCTGTGGAGAGACATTTTGACAAAGCTCAGATGAGTGATTTGAGAGAAGTAGAAAACCAATATGGGTCAAGACTTTTGGTTCTTGTGAGCAGCACCTTCTCAGATCACAACATGAAAAGTGCACGTCAAAGTGTGTTCAGGATGAAATGAAGCCTTCTATAGGGTCACGGTGATGGAACTGACTCAAAGGCATTGCTTTGTTTTTAAACCTTTGAGTGCACCTTGTAATAGCAAAACTTATTTGAGTCATTATGTGCCAGATATACTCTTAGTATACTACAAAATTCTCATTTAATCGTTACAGTTTTTTAAAGAACTATTTTTATTTCCGTTTTACAGATGAGATTTGGAGAGACTAAGTCATCTGTTTAGGATCACACAAACTAGAAAAGTACAGAGCTGGTACTTGAGCCCGGTCTCTGACTCTGAAGTTTATATTCTTAACCGCTCAGCCTTCTGCCTTTATCCATTTCTCTCTAAAATTTTGAGGCGGGGAGGTCAATCACAAACTAAAATAAATGGGCATCCCTTGCACAACGCTTCAAAACATCATGGGAAAATTCACTATCTTTTAAAAATATTAATTTATAGAGACATGTTGATTATCACTGAAAGAGACAAAGACAAATCATACATATGGCAAGACAATGATATCCACAGATTCACAGAAGCCCAGACAATTAAATAGGACAAAAATCCATTAAAAGTTTTGAAACGTGAAAAGTTACATTCATTAACACCTCCAGATGAAAGGTTGATAAAAGCCAAAGAATTTCTGCTAGCTAGTCCTTGTTTCTGCCACTTGTCTGTCAGTTTGTCATACTGTGGTGGTTTGTGTGTTGCTGTGATGCCGCAAGCTCTGGCACTGGTATTTCAAATACCAGCAGGCTCACTCAAAGTGAACAAATGTCAGCAGAGCTAAAGACTAAGAACACACTACAGAGAAGGAATAGGCTATCCACTTTTGAGGAATTAGCCTCTGAAACCTTATGGATAGCACTGAAACATTTCCTCTTGGTTTCCAAGCAGTAGGACTTATATTGCTTTCTTAAACAATACAGTAGTCTTTGAAAAATTGAAGGGCTGGGGTGGGGATATTAGAGCTAGGTATTCATTTGTTAATTGTGTTTTATTGACTATGCAAAAGCATTTGACTATGTGAATCATAACAAGCTAAGGATAATCTTGAGAAGAATGGGAATTCAAGAACACCTCACTGTGCTCATGTAGAGCTTACAAATAGATCAAGAGTGGTTGTATGAACAGAACAAGGGGATGTTTTAAAATCAGAAAAATGTTTAAAATCATAGTTTAAAATCAGAAAATATGTGCAACAGATTTTATCCTCTCACAATACTTATTCCATTTGTATGCTGAGCAAATAATCAGAGAAGCTAGATTGCATGAAGAATTTGGCATCAGGATTGGAAGAAGCTTTATTAACACCCTTCGATATGCAGATTCTACAACCTTGCTTGCTGAAAGTGAGACAGACTTGAAGCACTTGCTTATGAAGATGATGAAGGATTGGAGTCTTCAGTATGGATTGTAAGTCAATGTAAAGAAGACCAAAATCCTGACCACTGCATCAAAGGTAACATCATAGTGAGTGGAGAAAAAATTGAAGTTGTCAAGGATTTTGTCCTGCTAGGATTCATAATCAATGCTCACAGAAGCATCAGTTAAGAGATCAAATGACACATTGCATTGGATAAATATACTGCTCAAAACCTCTTTAAAGTGTTGAAAATCAAGGAATTTACTTTAAGGAATAAAGTGTACCTGACCCAAGCCAGGGTATTTTCCATTACCTCACATCCATGTCAAAGTTGGACACTGAATAAGGAAGACCTTAGAAGAATCAGTATGTTTGAATTAAGGTCCTATTGAAGTGTATTGAAGGAACCAGGGACTGCCAAAAGAACAAACAAATCTGTCTTGGAAGAAGCATAGACAGAGTGCTCCACTTACTTTGGACATGTCAGGAGAGATCAGCCCTTGGAGAGAACATCGTGCTTGGTAAAGTAGAAGGGCAGTGAAGAAGAGGAGGAAAGCTCTCGGAAGACGGATTGTCATTGTGGCTACAACCTTGGGCTCAAACATAAGGGTAATTGTGAGGATGACCCAGAACCAGGCAGTGTTGTTCTACATAGAGTCTTTATGAGCCTGAACAGATTCAATGGCACCTAACAATAGCCCTTGATTTTCCCAACAGCCTATCTGACTCCCTGAGACAAGGTATTAGAACCCATCCCCCCACCCCCAATTGTTCCATGATATTTTGAATCTTACTTGTGTAAAGTCTTTGGGAACTCTGGAGAAGCTGGATTTTGTTAGAAGAATGGTACTAGAACATCGCTTATCACAGGGACTCGAGAACTCAGGAGCGAAAACATCTGGCAATCCATGGAGCTGATTTGTACCTGCCGCTGAGAACTAAAGGAGCAGATCTCAGTACAAAATACAAGGCTCAATGGTATGCTGATTATTTGTGGAAAGGTGAGATAAAAAAAGCAGTCAGAGATCACACTTGCACCTGTTTATATCACAAGACACAATCTGCTCTTTCAGTTTTCTAGTCCGTGAAAAAGAACTCCAGACCCAAGGGCTTAGTTCAACAATGGCATTTTCCTTCTGGTTCCCCAAAAAAATCCCTAATATTGTTTTTGTCAGCAATGCAGTGGTTGTTGAAAAATTATAGGGGGCGGGGAAATTAGAGTTAGGTGTTTGTTCAGTTATTCAACTTACATGTATTCATGATATAGTAAGCATTGTGTTAAGATCAACTGCCATGGAGCTGATTCTGATTTCTGGAGGGCCCATGTGTGTTAAGTAGAACTGCACGTCACAGGATGTCCTGTGCTTTTAGGAAGATTACCCTGCCTTTCCTCTCAGGTGCCCCTCCGTTAACTCTAATTTCCATGCTTGGTAACTATTTGCACCACCTCAGGACTCCTATCATGGTACTAGGTGTTTGGAATTCAGAAATGAACAAAGAAATCAGTATCATTAGAGAAGAATGCATTTTGAGGAGGAAGGGCATATGACAAGGAGACAAGAAACAAAGATAATAATGGCCATATTCAACTAATAATAATAAGCATCTATTAGGGAAAATGCTATGGGTGGCATGGACAGAGTTGTATAATAAAAACGTAGAATTGAGGGGCCGGCACCCTACTTCAGATGAAGTGAGCAAGGAGGGTGACATTTAAGCTGACACCTGAAGGAAGAGAACGAGCCATTTATGAGAAAATAACATTACAGGCAGGGACAGAGCAAGAGCAATGACCTTGAGATAGAAAAACACTTTGTATGTTTGTAAAAGAAAAGGAGGCCAATGTGGTGGTAGCCTAGAGCGCTGGAGGAGGACTGCTGTAAGAAGCTGGAGCACTGGGCAAGAGCCAGGTTAGGTCACAATAAGGAATGGCTGAAAGGGTGTGTATCCAAAGAGTGACATGATTAGATTGTCTTAAAAAATAACACTTTGGCTTCTGTGTAAAAAGAATGGATTGGAATAGGGCACGTGTGGAAGCTGTGGAAGAAATAAGGATGGAGGCCAGAGGAAAGGGAGGTTCTTTGCACAGTGGGCTTTAAGACACTACTTTCAAGGCATCCTTGGAAGTTACCTCGTTGCATAGCATCTCCATTTCCTTCCGAAGCATCTTGTTTTTCTTTTCCTATTGAGGGGGAAAATGTTTAAATGTAGAAATTAAAGTTATAATGATTAAGTAATGTGGTCCAAGGGGTACAGAGATTTAGTAGACCACAGAAAAATGGCAATGGATGTGCCCAGTCCCAAATCTAAGAGCATGAGATGAGTGGGAGGAGGAGGAGGATAGTAAACTATTACTATTGAGCCAAAGCTTTACTTACGGTAACTCTGGCATGATGCCAAGAGAAACAAGTTTCCCAGTTATCATGTATACTTGAGTATAAGCCAACCTGAATATCAGCCGTGGCACCTAATTTTACCACAAAAAATGTGCTGAAAAACCTCGGCTTATACATGTGTATATATGGTAAAACACATAATGTTCTGGTCACATGGCAATTTCTCTGGGGCTTTGCCCACTAATTTCTAAGTTTTCAGATCATTTACACCATTTTTTTTATGTTTTAAGAATCCCTAAGAGCAAACTGTTTCTCACCTTTTATTTTGATAAACATTTTCTTTCTGTCAGAAAATATTGATAAAGTCATTTTCTGAATTGTGAAGTGATAATACATTTCTATACTTTAACATCCTCAGGTGAATGGTACATAAAAGCCAAATAAATTTTGCTAGCTAGTCTTTGTTCTCCCCAGCAGTCTCTCTGACTCCCTGGGCTTTCTAGATTAAGTAAGGAGACAGGAGTGATAGAATATTAGGTACTAGTAATGGGCACTCTGTCTTGCCTTCTACATCTGGCCACAGCAATGGAATTGAGCCCAGTTAAGAATGCTGTTCCCCAGAGTGCCTACCAACAACTTACAAGATTCTGCTTCATTTCTTCTGCTTCCTTCATCAGATCCTCCGAGGAATCGTCACCCACCTTTCCTGCCATGATTTGCCGCATGATCTGCAGACTAAAAGGAAGAAAGTTGTCATAAAACATTTGTACTTCTGAAAGGTCAGTATTAATATTCTGCAGCCAGTCGGAAAGTACTCTGCCATGGAAGTTAGGTAGGTGGGAGGGTTGGAGGATCCCTTGAGTTATGGGAGTCCCTGTGGGCACAGAAGGTTTCTTTAAGTAGGATGATTCTATTCTTAATAGACTATAGTGATGTGCTCATTAAAGAAGTTTGTGCTCTATTCTGATCAAAAATTAGGTATCCACCACCCAGGTCTCTTTGACCTCTGAGAAAAGATAGTATATTAGTTTATGACCTTTGAAGAAAAAAAGGGTGATTTTTTCCCCCCTGTGGGACTAAAGCATAGGTACAAGACCTTGCTGTTTTAAAACTAAATCCTAGAATTATTTATTATTCTCATCTCTGTCTACCTGCTTATATCTCTGATATCTCCATATAAAGATAATTTGCTGAGGAGGGCACTTATACCCTTTGGGTAGTCCCCAAAGGAGTCTTAGTGGTGTAGTGATAAAAGTGCTTGGCTGCTAACCGACAGTCCGAAGGTTCTAACCTCCTTGCTGCATGTGTGGTAGTCTGCATCCATAAAGATTTACAGCACTAACAATCCTGTAGGATCATTATAAGTTGTCATCAACCCAACACTTGGTTTTAGTAGTCACCAGAGTACCCAAGTGTCTAACAAAGTCTGAATCAGAACCCATGTCTTTGATGATGAGAAAATGTATTTTTGAAAAGATTAATTCATGTTTTTGTTCCTTGTAGTTTTTCTTAGTTGATTTTTCTTCAGTTCCCAGCAGGGAATCAGGTCTTTCTGCTCTCCTGCCTTCAGAGACATCTGCGCTGCTGGGTTATAAGCCACTGATTATTGACTACAACCTCCTACCTGGCTTTTGTTCTTCCCAGGTCTGAATTCTTTGAGATACTCTTGGTATTGGTAGGGCTTTGAGGGAGATTTTCTGCGACTATTAAGGAAGCACAAGTGGTAAGTCCTAAGAACAAAGAGTACCCTAGTCAAGACCTTAGCTGTCTATATATTTAAGGAAGCCATATCCTAATTTAGATGACTGCTAGACTCAGAAAAAATTGCATACCAGTGCTTGGCATGAAGAAAGCAAAATCATCTATTAGAGTAAGTCCAAAGATTGGTACTGTAAACATGTCTATGTGACTATAGGATGACTACAAACAAGTTCTCTCCGTAATACTTTAGTCTTAGTAGTATTTAGTAAGCACTTAATAATAGTAAATACTAAATACTTCGTGCAGTACTTGTGATACTCTCAGTAATATCGCAGTCTCATTAGGTGCCTTCACAAAGAAGAGCGAGTCAAAATAGTGGTTTCTGCGGGCTGGCTACGTTCAGGCAGAGAAGTCATCACAGAAGGTTATGGTGACTGTTTGGGGTTTTTTTGTGTGTGTGGTGATTTCAAAGGGGTAATTGTAATAGATTTCCTCAAAAGACAGGGGCATATGATGAAGTGTCAAGAAAATCTGAGACTACATTGGTAAGAAAAAGGCCAAGAGCATAGCATCAAGGGTATTTTTCTCCATTACAACAAAGGACCTGCTCATGTCCATGGGTATCAAGTGCTGCCCCATGATACTTCATTGAGAAATCTTACCCCATCCATCTCCAGCCCTGATCTTGCACCTTCAAATTTCTTTTTGTTCAAACACTCAAAGAATATTTGAAAGGAATATAGTTTGAGTTCCGCAAGCATGCCAAAGTGCTGTCATGAAGTGGTGTCAATTGAGCATAAGAATTCTTAGGAAAGGGGCTGCGAGATGGAAGCACCAACTTCAGAAATGTACAGGCTTTTCTGACAATACTTTTTGACTTACTGTCATATTCTGCAGCGATTCTACAGATATGAACAAAGAAGCTATCAGTGTGACTATGATAGACTGAAGATTAAAGAACTTTTTCTTTTTCCTGGGTAGGCACCTTATGAGTAAGAGTTTAACTGTAACCCCACAAAAGAAGAGATCCGAATCGTATTTAGTTTTGCTAAAAGAAAATAAACTCTTCCTTGACAAGCTGGCTCTTTTGGTTATAGATTCCTCACCTACTATAACTGAAGTTCCTATTTTTTTCAAAACAAATGTAAATAATCATTCTAATCCTATTAGATAAAAATGAGATTGTCTGCTCCTATAAAAATTTATAGTCTTGGAGACCCTATATAAGATGGCTAGGAGAAAAAAGTGAATTGATGACAGTAGGCTTTCTTTTTGCTTGTTTTTAATCCTTTGGAAACTTAAGTTCTCCATTCTTTTGGCCTCTAGTAAATCCTGGGGTGGATAGCCCTTACCTTCTTTGTTTCTCTTCCAAGTTCGACATTAACTTCTGGAATAAGAGGTCGTTCTTATCTTCTAGGGGTTTTAGGATCTCTAGCAATTCTTGCTTCCTTAGCTTTATGTCATCATTCAGTTCCTTTAAGTAGTTGTCATTTGCTTTAGAACTTCTGTGGGAAGAGATAGCATTAAGGTTAGCCTCACATGGGTGAATAGAGAGAGACCCTTTTCTCCTCTCTGGGTAGTTACCTTTTGGCATCTTCCATCAAGAACTCACCTAGTTTTTGAGGGCAAGCATGATCCTAAAGAGTTTGCACCATTCATCATCATGAAGGGGAATGTGTACTTTAAGTAGAAAGACGTCTTCTTAAAGTATGTATGCCTTCTTTTCCCATCGAGTTAAGCCATCATTTTGTACTGCTGTTCTTGAAACCCCTGCTGCAGTGGACTGCTTTTAGCTAAAGCTTGAGGTCACAATGGCTCAATGGCGCTAAGACTACAAAATCAACAAGTCTTATAAGGAGCTCCAACCAAATGGCAGCTTATTAACTGAAAATACTACTAACTGCTCTTACATCTTGTCTTAACTTTGCCAAATGCCAAAAGCCTTTATTCTGAAGTTTTAAATTGAAATGAAGTGCCCAGCACATGTTAGGTGTTTACTCATTTTTGTAGGGCTTTGTATGGTTGGGTAGGGATTACTTGATGCCTTAAGTAAGCAGTCATATACCAAAAAGAGAAAAAAAGCTGAATTATATGACTAATGGCCCTGGTGGCCTACTGAGCTTTACATAGAGCATAGGTAGGTCAATGGTTTGAACACACCAGTCGCTCCATGGGAGAATGATGTAGCTATCTACCCCCACTCCCCCGAAAGATTTACAATCTTGGAAACTCAATAAGGAAACTATACCTTGTTTATAAGGTTACTATCAGTAGGAATTGATTCAATGACAGAGAGTTTGAATTTCTGTTTTTATTTGTTTGTTAGTTTTGGATAAAGCTTCAGCTTCAGAGCTCTTCATTTTTAAAGACCTTTCCCATACATTCTCTTTTCATGATTTTATCTATACAACTATCTATCTATCGAAAGAGGCCCCCCCCCAGGTTATATACATATCACAGCCCTACAAAACTGCATCTCCCCTGGTTAGTTATATACTGTCCAGCGTATCCTATATATCAAAGTAGGCTCTAAACATATTTTTTCTAAAGTACACATATGTTACATGAAAGTTCTGTGATATCTAATTTAGTGTGACATTAAATTAGATTAGCCTTGTCAAGTGTCATTCAATTGATGTTGGCTAACCTAAGCATTCTCATGAAAATTTTGGAGTAAGGGTGAGCACACACCTCAGAATGGAAAGAAGAATTGATTGGGTAGACATTCTTTCCTCATTCATACTAATTTCCTAGATTTTAGATGTAGCAAGTGATAGTACTTAGTCGAGGACAAAAATGGCATCAATCTCCAAAGCACAGCCTCTGCAAATTTTATGTTGTGACATTTGGCCAGTCGGCAGAACTTTATTAGAATTTTAAAACATTTAGTGGGCAGCATCTCAACTCACCTTCCTTTCTGTCCTTGCTTAAGAATAATTGAAAGTAGAAGAATCTTTGGTATTCTGATGTCCTCTTTTCCACAGCCAATCAGCACCTCTGATTTCCCAACATTCTAATGCCCATTTCTTCCATTTCCAATACAACTTCCAAGGAGAATATTTACCTTGTAACAAGTGAAACACTTTCATAGTGAAAGGTTTCCATAGGGAAAGGCTTCAGAAAAATTACAAAGTGGCATGGAGAGAGGACTCTATCAGCCTCTTGGGCAGAAGGAAAAAGAGGGAAGCTATAGATGATAGATGTAGAAGGGGCAGGGGAGTTGAGCACTACCTTTTTCCCTGAAGTAGAAGTTAGGTCCTCTGCTGATTGCAGAAGTGTGGGAGGAAACCTCAGGCTTAAGATCTGGGTCAGCATTGTGAGCAGTTTGGCAAAGCAAGCCAACTAAGGAAGAGTGAAAGGCATGCCAAGTGTGCTAAGGGTCAAGGTGAGCTTGGTAAATGCATAATTATCATGGCATGAATCAGCACTTAGACCATTTTCTCCAGTACTTGGCAAACTAGAAGCAATAGTAGAGAGAACAGATGGTTGCTTTAACTCTGGGTTGGAATTTGGCAGAATGGATAAAAATTCAAGGGGGTTGAGGGTGCTCTGTAAGAGTATCTGTCAAAAGGTCTCACCGAGTTCAGACTACCAAGGAAGAAAATGAAGATAGGTGGAAACGAAGAGCGAGCCAAGACGGAGACATGCGGGCACGAAAAGAACAAGTATGGCCAGCAAACATACTTCTCATCAAATTACTTGTAGAACTTGCTCTTATTGTTTAGCTAAATTATAGTAGCAATTTGTATTTTTTTCCTCCAAATAAACATTATCTGTGTTGCTTTCTGTCACTGCATAATATTCACTGAAATTCATGTGGTCCCTTAAAATAAGTCTTATAACAAGCTATTCACAATGACCTCATCCAACATTACAGCATTTGATTTTAGTGTTTGTTAAGAAAACGTGTGATTGCTCTATAATTAGAGAACTCAGAGAAATACATTTTACTGTTAGTTTTACCAGTGGAAAATCAGATTAGTCTAATTAAGCCAGGTCTCCAAGTGTAGATGTAATTATTTTCATATTAAAGCAAAAATCCAGAAGCTTTTCTCCCCTCACCTCTCTTAGTTTTGGATGTAGCGAGAAAATTACAGAATTTCTCCAGGGGGGAACAAAACCTGAGAGCTTTCTGGCCCTCTCTGACCCAGAGCCAATTCAACCCTTGAGGGGTGTGGAAGAACTCCACTAGCTAAAATAAGGAAAGATGTGCTGGCAAAATCATAATGGCAAATCGTACAGACTCTTAAAGATCACACCCAACTCATGGTGCTGTTAGGATCATGCTGTCCTCTACCTTAACCCTTGTGAGATGTTATCTATATTGGAGTGAACTGAGCCAGGTCGAGATAGAGATATATTTCAGAGCTCTTGAATTCTCTTAGGAGTCCCTCTGTGGTGAACTGGTTAATACACTTGGTGGCTAACAGAAGAGTTGAAGGTTCAAGTTCACCCATTAACACCTCAGAAGAAAGGCATCGCAATCTACTTTAAAAAAATCAGCCAGTCTAAACTGTATCGAGTACAGTTCTATGCTGAGACACATTAGTTTCAGTAGACTAAATGCCAACTGTGTTTTGTTTTAATTCTCAGTGTAATTACACCTCTCAGTCCTTTTCAAAGCAATGCATTCTTTCAATGTGGCCAAATGCTTAACACAGCATTCTTCAAACTCTCACAAAGGCTTTTAAAGATGGAGAAGCAAGGATAATTTGGGGGATGATCTTTCCCAGGATCCTCCATTTCCACAAATGCCCTTTACTGAAAGGAATCTGTTTGAGAATGCTTCTTGGCCCCCTTTCCCACCGCCTCTTTCACAACCACTCTCCTCCCATTTTTAAAAGATAGCAATACATTTCAACCTTTTGAAATCTTACTTCAGTAATTGGCCTTGAGGGTAAATAAGAACCTCGGAGACACCGTACAAAATGTTGGTGTTGGTGCTTAAGAAAATGAGTGGTTGGTAATAACTAGATTATAATTACTTTGCAGGCCAGGTGGTTTCAAAGTTTTGCTTTCATCTGAATTGAAGGAATATCCACTTAAACTGCCTGTTTAAGTTTATTAAGATAAATTTACTTTTAAAAATTTTCATGGTAAATGACAATACGATTTTTTGGCTTATAATTCAGAAGGAGTTAAATTATTTGAGTGACACTGATATAAGCAAGCACATTCTGTTTCTGTTTATTTATTTGTACAATAAGTTTTTTCAGCACGTTTTTTATGTACAGCAAAAAACATGAATAATATGGATGCAGAAGTCTGTCTCACTCTGCCAGTAAGTAATATTCATCTGTGAATGCATGGAATAACGGGGAAATGCTATCCATTAAATTAGTAGAAGCATTTCCAAAATAATTGTTTGTTATGCTTAAGAATTATTTGTGAAAATGTATATTTTATTTTTTCAATTGTGTAATAATAATTTTAGTGCTAACTCAATTATGAAGACATGTTAATATTTAGAGGTTAAGGTTATAGGTAATTTTTTTAAGTCAATGTACATACTCAGATTTATTTGCGGAGCAGTCTGATTTTTAAAAATATTAAAAAGACTTTCATGCATAAAGTATATTGCATTAAAATAAAATACTTTGGGGAAAGTGGGATTAAAATACTAGACTACCCCAAAAACATCAAGTGGGAGGGCGACACCCTATTTAACAAGTGGTGCTGGAAACAATGGAAATCGACATGTAGAAAAATGGAACAAGATGTCTACTTCACCCCATGCAAAAGAACAAACTCAAGGTGGATCATGGACCTAGAAGTAAAGCCCCAAACCATCAGGTCCATTAGTGAAGGAATTATGACAAATCTAAGAACCTTGGTCCAAGGAATACAAAGACTAACTGCAATAGAGCAGGGTACACACACAGGGGAACCTGAAATTGACAACTGGAATTTACTAAGGATAAAACACCTGTGTGAGTCAAAGAACTCTACCAAGAGGGTAACAAGGCAACCCAAAGGCTGGGAGAGGATTTTTAGCAAAGACATAACAGACAAAGGGTTTATTATAAAAATCTATAATACCTTCCTTGCCTGCAAAAAGAGGAAAACAGTTAACCTCTAGAAGAAGTGGGCAAAAGAAGTTTCACTGTGGAGGAGATCCATAAGGCCAATCAACGTATGAGCAAATGCTCCCAATCATTAGCCATCAGGGAAATGCAAATCAAAACAACCACGACATACCATTTAACATCTTTGAGGCTAGCCCAAATCAGAAAATCAGAGAGCAACAAATGTTGGAGGGGATGTGGTGAGATAGGAACTCTCCTACATTGCTGGTGGTCTTGTAGATATGTACAATGGCTACTGAAAGTGATCTTAAAAAAAATGGAAATTGATCTACCTTATGACCCAGCCATCCCTCTGCTGGGCATATACCCAGAAGAGGTAAGTAATAAACCACAACCAGTCATATGCGCTCCAATGTTTATTGCAGTGCAATTCACAATAGCAGAGTTGGAAACAACCTAAATTTCCATCAGTAGAAGAGTGGATCAGTAAACTCTGGCACATACACACAATGGAGTACTATGCATCACTAAAAAGCACTGATGAGCACATGAAGCACGTCTTTTCATGGGAAGAGTTGGAGGAAATGATGTTAAACGAAGTCAGCCAATCACAAAAGGAGTACAGCTTGAGTCCCCTGAGGTAAGTGTAATCAGCACGGTAGATATAGCAGAGAAGCCACCTGTATTACTATTCAGGTTGATATCTAGGGAGTTAGACCAAACCCAAGGAGGCACATGTTGGTCCAACTCAAAAATGGGGAAAGGAGGAAGAGGGGAGGGAGAAAGGGGGGTGGGGCAAAAGTGAAATGATGACGGAGGGAGCAGGGCACTAAACCCACCCAGGGGGAAAGTACTGGTCTTGTTTCCACAGAACTGGGAATGGACATGCAGACCCTACCACGGTGTACCAAACCATGAGGACAACGTGGCCACGTGGAAGAATGCATGAAAAGTGAGAGCTACCGGGCTGGCCCCAACCAGAGCCAAACTGACCCCCTTCCTGGAAGTGGGTGTGGCAGAGAGCAGCACTGAACCTACAGGTTGGGGAGAGGGGCCAGCATGCCACACCCACACGGAAGCAGACTGGGCGGGAGGAAGAGAGAGAGCCAGACTGGACCCTATGCTGGCCCACCAGGCCCTGAGGATGACGTCCCTGTGGGGAGCTAAAGGGACACAGGGGAGACTATGGGTGGCCAACACAGCTCCTGTCATATTGTCCCCTTACTGCAGCAGACTGTGAAAGAGCACATTTCTGAGGTCACATGGTGGGGAAGTAGTGCTGTCTGAGTCCCCCACAGTAGAAGGTACCAAGAAGGGAGCCAGAGCTATAAAGCCCCTGAGGAGTCCCCAAGTGGGGGTGGTGCTCCAGGAGGGGAAGGGCAGCTCCCGGACAGTCATGAAGGCCGGTGAACAGACCCGGGATTTTTGTATTATTTCTTCTCTTTTTTTTTTCTTTTCTCCTTTTTCTTTTGCTTCTTGTTTCTTCTTTTGTCTTTTCAATCTTTAAAAAAAAAAAAGTTTGGACTATGTCATAGTTGGTGTGCCTACCTATGGGCATGGGAGGCATGGAGAGAGCAAGGAGACCAACAGTCCTGGGGAGACCTTGGGGGTGAGGGTGGTGGGGGAAGGGGGTGGTGAGCAGGCAGCGCCATGGACTGGGGAACAACTGGGGTGTTGGAGTCAACAACAAGGCGGAGATAGGGAACCAGGTTGGTGGGGGGTGGCAGAGCAAAAGCAAACTAGCTAAGAGGAGGTACCAATACCAAGAGGCAGAAAAAGGGGAAAGTGACGATGGGGCCGGAGGAAGGTGAAAAGAAACAGAGGAACGACCTAGGAAGCCAAGCAATGGATAGAGATAAACATAGCGGTGTACATATGTAAATACATTAATCCACAAAAATACATATATTTATATGGCAATACACTGAAGTAGGGGATGGACTTCGGGCCTCTGCTCAGACCCTCCCTCAATACAAGAACACTTTGTTCTAACAAATAGGCAGTCTGAGATGTTTACCCTCCTGACACAGTCGCTGAAGACAAAATGGGTGCATAAGCAAATG